GGGGGGGGGGGGGGGGGGGGGGGTGTTGGATTAGCATATTTTATGATGAATATCAGCTGGTAGTTCTTTATAAGCAATGGAAAGAGAATCAACAATTCTATAATCATGATGTAAACCATATTCAAAACGTCTTCCTATACTCTTTAAACAGGGAGAATTCTCTAGACGCCACACAATAATAGTATATGCTAAAGAAAAACAACATTCCAAAAACCCAATCGTGATTTATGATATAGCAAATAAGATGAACTGCTATAATATTTTGTTGACGAATAAAATCCTATAAGATTAATATGATTTAGGGTGCTATTCCATTTCTATGTAAAAATATTTCATCAGGTATTCCATTTTCCAACAACCTCTTTAAAAACTACTCCTTCATGTCTCCATCGTTTGTCACTTGGGGTGGGGTAAGCGGTGGTGAGTGGAGGGAGGGGAAGGGGAAGGGGAAGGGGAAGCTTATATAATGAAAGGTTGGATTTATAAACACTCTCCCCCATCCCCTGTACAGTCCAAGAAAGTAATAATAACAGTACTAAACAGATGACTTCTATGATGCAAATGTAAAAGTACCTAAACGGTTAGAGAGACAGACCTTGGGACATTTTTTCCATCTTGTGTGCTGTTGTTTGGTGTATCGTCCCCTGCAGTATCAGCAGATGCATTAAACTTAGCAGGAGCAGAGTTTTGGTGGTTAGAAATAGCAGCAACGATAGCTTTTGCTTTAGGAGCCCTAGACTTCTCTTTTGAGCCTTGTGAAGCAGTACTGACACTCAAATTACGCCATTTGTCCTAGGTACATAAGCAACACGATGGAGATAAATAGTTGCAGACATTGGTAGCTAAACAGTCATGCTGTTTCGCAAACACAATATTTCAAAGTTAACAGGAAAAATATAAGATTTTTAATCAAGGGATTTACATTTTAAAACCTTGAATTTGAGGCAAATTAAACCATGTCATCGTTCTGTTCTAGTAATGCTGGAACATAAACAATCTCAAAGATGCATCTAGGAACAGACTCGAAGAAGATCTTACACAGTTCATCCAAGTTCATGGCTTCCATTGAAGAAAGCCTAAAAACGCACCATCATATTAACGATATTTAATATTTATATACAAAATCAAACTCTTTCCTCCCTCTAATTCCACTTTCTGGACTCTTCTTCTTACATTAATCAGTTGGTCAAACGAAAATCTTAGGGAAAACTATTAAGTACAATTTAGTCCAAAAATTAACGTAGAAAATCATTGAAGAACAAAACCAGTTTCTTCCATGTTAAAACACTCAACCAACTGCGTACCAAGCCTATTGGATTCTAAAGAAATCAATCCGTAACTTCAAAAAAAATCCCGCAATTTTTCAGTTCGGCCTCTGAGTTTATAACTAAAACCCTAAATATCAATACAAACAGGTCAACCAAATGCGAAAAAAAAAAACACGCATATAAGGAATTGAAAGGAATAGGTAATTGAATGGGGACCTTGAGGTCAATGTTAGAGCGATGAGTGAGAGACGGAGCAAACTCAGGATCTTTAAGAATGTTCTTCCACTTTCCGGGACCGTGCTTATTCACGCCTGCCAAAAGTGCCTCTTCCTCCTCCGACGTCCACTTCAGCTTCTGGTTTCCCATTCTGATTCGCCGTTTTGGCTTCTCAGAAGGTCACTTCGTGTAGAAGAGTTCGCCTTCGTTGCGGCTTAAATCTTTGAAGAAGATGAAGAAGTAGAAGACAGCAGCAGGCTGTCGTTCTTCGGCCTCTTTTTGTTTTTCTTCAATTTTTCGTTTGTTTCTTTTTGTCGTGACCTTTGAATTTCATCCCAATGGGCCGCCCCAAATTTTGGGCTCTTTGGTTTATTAGATATTCAAATATATTATTTAATTTTATAAATAAAAATTTTGGATTGAAATTATACGCAAACTTGTTCGAAGTCATAATAAGGAAAATCTTACGATTGGAGCACGAACACAAAAATCATACTACATTTTTTTTTCATATTCTTTGAACGCATTTACGATTCGTGTTTTTTTTTATACAAAAATCATTGATGGACAGCGACAGCAACAGCAACGATAATGTAGTGAGGTCTATAGTAGTTAGTTGCAGTAGTCGAAAATTTTGAGAGGAAGTTCACTACTAAACTGTAACGATTCACGTTTCAAGACAATCGAGTCACGGTCATTGTGTGAAAATATTTTTAAAAAAAATACACAGTAATTAAAAACAACTAAAATGTACGTGCAGTAATTATAAACTCAATTCAAAATTGTGCAATTTTGAACTAATCTCGACTCCTACAGTCTCGTGTATATTGTCACCTCGACCGCTTCCTTTAGTCTTGTCGTTCTTAATTTCTCTTAAGTCTTATGTTATTAGTTCATTCGTTTTGGTGTCTAATTCATGCTTAGGAGTTTGTTTCTAAGCTGCAAGCATTTCATACACCATACCATAAGTTTACTTGACTCACCTAATCTCAACTTAGGCTCGTGGATAGAAGCCTTAAGTTCTCTTTCTTCGCCCTATCTAGGTTGTCAATTCACATGGTGTCATTCCCAGAGTTACAAGGTTTCTTGTTTACATGTCTATTAGTCTATTTCATCATTGTCATTGTCATCATAGACATGTGGCTAGTAGGGCCTCGAGGTGCAACAGCAACGTCGGTTTCCTATTCACATTCTCATCATGCCTCATGGACACTATTCTCAGATTTTCTAGTAGGGCTCCGATAAGCCCCACAACGTAAACAACATGGAGAAGGTTGCACCCCTCAATCTGGCTAACATCCGTCTTACTTACTCTCATCCAAACAAAACTACAATTGAAAAATGTGCGGGAGACCCCACCACAAAGTACCCGTAAAAAGCTTATTAGGTTCATGCATTTTTAGGTCTTAACCCTAGTTTTATCCATTTCTAAAAGTACTATCTCGATGGCCAAATGGTAGCCGTACTCGGGATCCACATGCTCACACATACAATTTTCACCAAAGCCAAGATTCCCTTCCAAATGTATTTAAATAATATTTTTCAAAATAGATAAATTTTCCGATAACAATCAAAATACAAATAATTTAACATCTAGATAAGTTTGAAGTTACAAAATAATAATTAAATAAAGCTTATTACAAAATAATAATAATAAATAAATAAATAAATAAATAAATAAAGTTGGATAAATAAGATATTAATATGAATAGTTTTATTATTGTTATACTAAGAAAATAATTAAACAAAACAATGAAGTTATACTTTCTTTTCCAAAATAATAATGATTTTAAAAAAAATAATAATACCATGTAGTTGACATTTTTATTGTGATAAAAACATTACAAAATTAAACCTCCCATCAAAATAATTAATTTTTTAAAAATGATTATATTATAAATAATTTCTTCCGGTCCTTTATAAGTAAAAAATAAAGCAACAAATTATTTCAAACATATTTAATATCGATGGCAAATATATATTATGGAAACATTAATTTTAGGGGCAAATTTACTAAATTAAACTCAACAAGGGATTATAATTCTTCTATGTACGTTCTTTCTAATTTTTATAACTGTTTTTAATATTTTATGTAAATTAAGTAATTCTCCAATTTCCCATCACCCGAAGCCCAGCCCGAGAGTCAGCTCCAAGTATCTTTGAGCTTTGAATAAACCGAACCGAACCGAACCGACCGGTTGAAATAGAAATCGGTTCGGTCCTGGTCTGTCCCACCTCGAATTCCCTCCATTTTTTACTTCTCACCCTCCTCTCAGTTCCAGTCTGCGGTCGATCGACCTTTCGCCGGCGGCGGTGGCATTATCCTCCTCCGGCTGCCGCCCACAAGCTACCGGAGACAGAGCTACCCTACGCCGTATGTCGCTAGACCCTCCTTGCTCTTACTCTCCGGCCGGCAGGTGGCAGCGGCCCCACCCTCGTCGGTGGGTAAAATTATGAAGCGAAATATAAATTCAAAATCGGTTGAACCGAGACGGAGAATCATCGGTTTTCTCGGGTTGGAGTTTTGAGAGAACGAGCGGTTCGATTCGGTTTCTGGTTTTCTTTCGAAACCGGAGAGAATCGAACCGTGCAGACGTTTAGCTGCTACTTAACGTGCTGAGGAAAATTAAAAAAAAGAAAAAAGTCGCAGAAAAACAAATGCCTCAACGTGAATTAAGCTGAATGGAATCGGAGTCAGAGATCTGCCACTGAACCCTAATAAGCACCTTATTCTTCCAATTTTGATTTTCTTATATCGTTCTGTTCATCATCTCAGCTGCAGATCGATCTCCATTTGTTCTTGGACGATCCAGTTCTGGGTAGTTTGCACTAGACAATATGGCTTACTCATCGCAAATCATCATCCATTCTAAAAAGGTGATAATTCGAATATCACATCACTTCCTTACATGTGACGAATGGATTCATCTGTTTATAATTTGAGTATGGATTTAATTTCTGAATCGTTCTGGATGTAAACTTTGTGATTTGAGTCATATGCATGTTGAACAAATTGGAGCACACTTATTTTGTTTTATGGTTGTTAATAAAGTCTAGCTGCTCTGGCGAATGGGAAGAGATCAATATCTTATGTAGTTCCAAGCCGTAATTAAGCTAATATCTGTTTATGGACGTTTTAATATTCTGTTGAGCAGTTCGTTGTGCAATTGAACCTTTTAGTGACCCCCCCTTGGGTTTGTTACGCACACAAGATAGCGGGGGTGTTGTGTGTTTCGTTTTCAGTCTTAGCTCGAGGGATTTCCTTTGTCTGATATTATGGATTTGAACAGTTGCTTATATCATTGACTTGCGGGTAATTTTTGATGCATGGGCCGATTTATAGTAGTGGTTTTCAACTTGGATATACTGATTTGGTATCTCAGCTTCACAATTGGTCTCTCTCTTGCCAAATTATGTCAACAAATTATATCATGTTCATCATACAAAGCCATGAAAGAAGTTGGCTGTTGGTTGGTCATTGCATACTGACAGGCCATTGGATGCTCATAAACTAAATGCATCATTTGTTACATTTCAATGTTCAAATTATACTTGTCAATATGACTATTAGGAAATATTTTATACATCTCCAATACCAGTATTTGTATTTGACTCTTCATGCTTCTTTTTTCAATGATTCACATTTAGTTTCATGAAGCTGTTTCTTCGGACAAGGGGTTAGGCAATTTTCCCTGGTGTTAAACCAAACATCTAACGCATTCATATTATTCTTGCAGTTAAGAAGTGTTCCAAAGTTGCTTCGGCAAGCTAGTTCAGTTCGCTGGTTTTCAGAGGATGTGCAGTCCTCCATTGTTAAAGAAGATGGTAAGCAGTCGATCATGGTGAGACATGTTTGTTATTTTGTTAGTGGTTTGTACCAACTCCTTCACAAGGGCATATTTGGAACTCCATAATGTTATTGGTTATAAATCTGAAGTTTAAGAACTCTTTGGTTACCGTTTGCGGTTTAATTGCTGTAATTAGTCAGACACGACAATTCTTTTTTGGTCAGTTTAGCGGGACAGATTATTTAATCGATTACTTTTTTACTGTTTTAACTTTCGACTTGAGTGCATCCGGCAGCTGACTATTGAAGTTACCGGTGGTTATTTGACAGAAATCTGGAAGATCAAGGGTCGTGGTTACCAGTCTTCTCAAGAAGGGGCAATTAAGAACCTTGTCAATTTTAACCACGTGAGTTGTAACCACCACTTTGCCTGTTCATGAAATCATTAATCAATATTTTTTGGCTGATCGAAATATTAATGTCTTAATTTCTTCCCATTGTCTGCTTTAACTTGTTAATGTTTCCCATGTTCACGTCAACATCTGATGTCACTTGTTTGTGTTGAATTGTGGTCTTCCTTTTGTAGAGACCACACTTTCTCCAATGTAAAAGAGGACTTTCAATGATGACGACGACAAGTATTGGGAATCCGTTTTCTAGGTTAGTATCTAATCAAAGAGCATGCACACACACACACACTTGCAAATTAAATCACATATTTATATATCAGCATGCATATTCGTTTGTGAATTAGGATGCTAGGGCTAAAATTTTGATCACAGTCAGAAGTAACTAATGTATCCATTTTCCCCACAGCAGTTCACTGACAAACTCAAAGAGAGGTTTTGCCTCTGATTCAGGTACATTGTGTGGTCCTATATTTTCGTTCCATTCTGCAGACATACATAATTCATTTCATTCTTTTTAATTGATAGTTTGTACATATGGAAAATGTATGAAATCAAAGTAACTTCGCTCCGAAATATTATGAAACCCTTGAGGATTGGATCTAAAAGCCTTCTTAATAAATAAGAATAAAAAAACTTAATCTCAAAAAACTCCAAAGCTAATTTGAAAACTAACCCAATGAAAGTCAAAATCACCTTGATGATCAAAGAGGCAGGGAAGATTGTTCCTTGTTTGATTTCTGAATCACTCCACGAGCAAGATTGATCAAGTCACACTATGATTGTAAATATGAAACCCAAACTACATAGAATTGTAAATCAACTTAGCTCTAGGCTTTTAGAAGGCAGCATTACATTTTCAAAATCTTAAATCACAAAGGTATTAGCTAGCCTAGATATATCCTCCACCCTAGAAGTAATCTAATGTCAATTAAGAGTTGTAATTCCCAAGTACACAAATTCCATAACAACCTATAAACTTCAAAACAACCTAAAAAACATATATGAAAGGTTTAAAACTAAAAATACAATATAAGGTTGTAAATTCGAGATTCAAGCCTGGAAAGCCTTTTGCAACCTTCCATGTATAATGAAGCTCGAAGAGTAGTCTCATTAATTGATGCTTGATTTGCACTAAAAGATATTTGAGATGCACTTGAGTTCATTTAATGCCAACTTGAGTTTTTTCGATGCAACTTTCACTTCCACTTTAATCTGACTTGACTTCATTTCATGTAACTTGAGTTTGACTTTAGTTTGTCATGATTGAGGCACTTCTAGAAACCCTTGGAAAGGTGGTGCTGAGGAGTTTCCTTTTCTCTCTCTTGTCTGTTGTTTAGTTGGGAATAAAAAGAACACCTATTTGTGGGAGGATAAGTGGTTGGGGGGATAGACCCCTCTGCTCTTTATTTCCTTGTCCATTCCAATTATCTTCAATGAGGACCATTTGATAGCAGTTGTGTTATCTTAGTCCATGTCCTCTCCCTCATTGACTTCTCTGGCATGCTTTGTCCAATAGGGACATGATGGACGTTTTCAACTTTCTTTTTATGGTTGGGGAGTTTCGTTGTAGTCCTAGGAGAAGAGATATTCGTGTTTAGAACCCTAGTCTGTTTGAAGGATATTCTTGTAAGTCTTTTTTCCTCTGTTTAGTTAATCCTTCTCTCTTGAGTAGTCCAATCTATACTTCATTGTGAAAGGTGAAAATCTCCAAGAAAGTTATGTTTTTTTGTTTGGCAAGTCCTCCATGAAAGGGTTGACACCTTGGCAGGGTTGAAGGAGGGTGCCCAACTTGATGGGGCAGTCGTGTTGTATCCTCTGCAGGACAGGGACTGTGGATCTTGATCATGTGCTTTGGGGTTGTGATTTTGTGTACATAGTTTGGAACTGATTTTTTGAGGAGCTTGAGTTAATTTTAGCCAGGTTGAGGCTACAAAGAGATGTTCAAGGATCCTTTTCCTCCCTTTGCAATAGGGTAGGATTGTTTGTGGCATGTTGGAGTGTGTGCTGTTCTGTAGGGTCTTTGAGGTGAGAGGAATAATAGAATTTCTTGAGGGCTTGAGAGATCTCCGAGTGAGGCTTGATCCTTTTTAATTCTCTGTTAGGATTTATATCTCTTGATTGTAAGTCGATCCTTTTTGTAGTTTATCTTCCTTTTTGTGGGCTTCTTTTTTTGTGTGCACTTGTATTCTTTCTTTCATTCTCAATGAAAGTTTGGTTATTCAGCCAATGTCAGCATAACTCAGCGGTAATTAGCATGTACTTTCCTCTAGTCTCATACTTCACTTGTTGTACTCAAACTGAAAGCTTGGTTATTCATTAAAAATAATAAAATAACTCCATCTCGAAGTCCTACTTGCATGTATATGTAGGGAATAACACCTACATTTTTCTTTAATTTCATATCAGCAAGATTTGGACTTGTTAAAAAGCATGTAGTGTTTCTGTTGCCGAAAAAAAAGGGAAGTATGCAGTGTTTGCATATTTCCATTTGCCATTAGAAACGATTCTGACTATGTCCTTGTAAGTAATAGAACTGCATTTTGTGCTGAAATTAGCTATAAATCTTATGTTAGTTTTTGCATTGTAAAATTAGGGTTCTATGTTTTAAAATCTGTTCTAATATGACTAATCAAAGGTATATTTTCATATTATGTTAACTTGACTTCCTGTGGAAGAGTATCTTTAACTATGCATTTTACTTAGAATCATGCAAATGCTTCAGGTCTTCCCCCACATCAAGAGATTGGAATGCCTTCGCTTTCCCCTACAATGACAGAGGTAGCTTATGCTCACTAACCTAGCAGAATAATTTATTGTTAAATAAATGCTAAGTTGTTTTTTATAATATGCAGGGTAACATTGCAAGGTGGTTGAAAAAAGAGGGGGAGAAAATTTCTCCTGGGGAAGTGCTTTGTGAAGTTGAAACAGTATATTCTAATACCTTTTGGGAGTTGGAAGTTGAAAGTAGTTTTTTACTGCCTTTTGATGGTAGGAATATTGCACTCTAATTTCTGATTCTGCATACTTGAAGGATAAAGCAACAGTAGAAATGGAATGCATGGAGGAAGGTTATCTTGCCAAGATAATTCGTGGAGACGGAGAAAAGGAAATTAAAGTTGGTGAGGTATTGATATTGCTTTACATCATTTTTTCTTTCCCTCTTACCTTTACAAGGGAAAAGGAGCCATTGCCATGTTGTGCCATTGTCATACGTGGTGGCAATGACCGTCATTGAAAGCTCTTTCTCAAGATAGAGGTGTGTGGATATTTTATTTTCTGCATTTGACGTGGTTTACACAAGTACCTTTTTTTTTTTATAGGTAATTGCCATCACTGTTGAAGATGAAGAGGATGTAGCAAAGTTTAAAGATTATAAACCCACTTCATCAAATGCTGATGCTGGTGCTGCAGCTGCTAAGGAATCATCTGGCCCTAGCCCACCCAAGAAAGAAGTTGAGGAACCAGTTCGTTCACCTGAGTCAAAGACTGTTAAGCAGAGTCCTCCTGCTCCAGCTGGAGATCGTATTTTTGCTAGCCCTCTGGCAAGAAAGTTAGCAGAAGAAAACAATGTTAGTTTGAATATCTTTTTAATCGAAATTTGGAGCTTTATATTTATGATTTCTTTTTAGCTGTAGTTCGAATTTTCTGAGTGCAGGTGCCCCTATCAAGTATCAAAGGAACAGGTCCTGAAGGGAGCATTGTGAAGGCTGACATAGAAGATTACATGGGTAATTCACTTTCTTTATGCTGGCCAGTTTCATTAACAACTTTATTTGTTTTTGTGTAGCTGTCTATCTATCTGTTTATATTTGAGTTGTTACTGTGAATATCTCTGTTGTTTTTGTACCCATTGATATGCTTCTTTTCTTGGAACATGGTCTATTAATATCTTTTATCCGACATGTCTCTAGCTTCGCGTGGGAAGGAATCAACCACAGCCCCAAAAGCCAAGGATGCAGCAGGTGCACCATTGGATTACAGTGATTTGCCACATACTCAAATAAGAAAGGTCCGCCACTCCTTTTGCCCCTTCCCTCTCAGCCCACACACTCCATGATTATAGGATTTCTTGGTATTTTCTGGCAGCTTTTAGTGTAATATGACGATATCTTACTCTGTTGCCTTCATCAATGTTCTCGATCTCTTTCCTAACTTATTCCAGAAACACAAAAGTTCTGCAATTTTGTGTTTGCTTAGTGCCGGTCTCCACACCTGTCAACTCTTAGGATGTTCTGTAAACGGGTTACTTGTAATTGTTATGTTTTGTTAGCGGCATCCCCATTTTTAAATTTGCATCTTATTTATTGGATTGATAGACAAACTGTCCTAAATATTCCAACTTGGTGCGTGTTTTCCCAGAGCTAATATTTCCTAAATTTTAACAGATTACAGCATCACGATTACTATTCTCAAAGCAAACCATTCCTCATTATTATTTAACTGTTGATACATGCGTTGACAAGCTCATGGAGTAAGTAATTTCTCTATACCTTTTGCAGTTAAATATCACCCAAAGCTATAGATTTAATGAGCTTTTGTTCTCTTTGTAGTTTGAGAAAGCAGTTAAATGCATTACAAGAAGCATCTGGTGGAAAGAGGATATCTGTTAATGACCTCGTCATTAAGGTATTTTAAAGAAATTATATAACTGGGTGTGTAGTTCAATTGTTTTCTGCTGTTAATTTGTATCATTTGACCTTTGCCTTTTTTTTTTTTTTTATTCTTTTTTCTTTTTCTTTAATTTTAAATTCTTTATATCTTTTTCGCTTGAAAGAAAAGTGAATACAGTATGTTAATTTTCAGGACGCTTCATTTCCACTCTGTTTGATGTGAAGTTCTTGATTAGCGTTTTGTATATTAGTTGTTTTCGTGTGATTTTGAATGTTTGGAAAGTTCTTATTTCTTAAGCCCTTGTGGAAGGAACCTACTTCATCTTGTCAACATTGTACAAACTTTCTATCCAAACCTACCCTTGTTCTTAGAAAAGAAATCCTTTTAATCCTTGTAAGAACATTGCTGCAGGCTGCTGCCTTGGCTCTGAGGAAAGTACCTCAATGCAACAGTTCATGGACGGACAATTATATTAGACAGTAAGCGAATAAGAATAATTCTAATTTGCTTATTTCATCGACACATTGTGATGTAAATTTCTCCTTTCGTCCACTCATCCAGGTATCACAATGTGAACATTAATGTTGCAGTGCAGACTGATAATGGACTTTTCGTTCCCGTCATCAGGGTCAGTAGTTGTCTTCGTAAAAGCGGTTGAATAGTTGGCTTTTATTACCGTTGTATAGAAGATGTGAAATTGTTTTATTTACAGGACGCAGACAAAAAAGGTTTATCTAGTATTTCTGAAGAGGTCAAGAAATTAGCGCAGAGAGCGAGAGAGAACAGTTTAAAGCCAGAAGATTATGAGGTGGAATGTTGTTTGAATACCCAGGAACAAGATTTACTCGTGGTTTAAGGATTTTAATTAGCAGTTTAATCCTTTTGCAGGGAGGCACTTTTACTGTGTCTAACTTGGGAGGTCCATTTGGAATCAAGCAATTTTGTGCCATTATCAACCCGCCGCAGTCGGGCATTCTTGCTGTTGGATCTGGTACACAGATCATTCATCGTTCTTGATATCAACCAATGCTTTTTTCTTTTTAATTATTATTATTAATTGCCATGCACATCTAATCTTGCGCAGCGGAGAAGAGGGTCATACCAGGATCGGGCGCTGAAGAATTCAAGTTTGCTTCCTTCATGTCGGTTACACTGAGCTGTGATCATCGCGTTATTGATGGTAGAATCATTACAGAATTCTGAACCTGAAGTCTTTTAAGATTGTGTATGACTTGAGAGAGAAGTGTTAGCTGTGTAACATTCTGTTCTTCTTTGTTTGATCAGGGGCAATCGGCGCAGATTGGCTCAAAGCATTCAAGGGCTACATCGAGAATCCCGAATCAATGTTGCTATAGGTTTGATTGATTGACTTATCCATTTTCATCAAACAAATTATTGTCTGTTGTCACATAAGCAATCATGCGGAGGGAAGATTGCGATCTCGGCTCTTCTTTTGGATATATTCTATTTTCGGCTTCTGTTGTAGTATCCTTGGGATCTCCTTTTGGCAACACAACCAAAGGAGATTGGAGTTTGCATATATAGACTAAGGGAATAAGGTGGTGATTGTTGAGGAATTGGATTTCCAAACGAACGCAGCTTGTAATTTATTTTCCTTCTCGATTGGTCTGGTTTTCAGGTCAATAAAGGATATAGACGAAGAGGAAATTTTGTCCGTTTCATCATCTGCTGATTGATAATATACAGTGAATTGCTTCCTGGATGAAAAGGAGCACTTAAAATTCATTCAAAATAGATCATTTCTGAGAATACATAGCCATGAGCTTGTGATTTAAATAGCTATGAGCTTTGTGATTTAAATATAGCTATGAGCTTTGTGATTTTCAGGTATGAAAATGCAAGTTGGGATGGCAGAGATTCACTTCCCAAAAGCACAGATTGCGTGGTGATGCAATGCATATTAGCATTGGAGTTCCATTAAAATGTGTGCCCATTTCTTTAGAAGATAATGCTAAAAACGCCATTCATTCTCTCACATTCCATTTTGTACTCACAATCGGATTTACATCTAAACCGGCAAACATCATGAATGAGCTCAAGAAATAAAGTTGAATACCCTCTTTCCTCGTTGGCAGATATTATTCGTTTTAATCGTTTTGTTATTGTCGTTAGCTTCACAGTGTTCTATTAGAGAGATTTTCACGCTCTTATAATGAATATTTTGTTTTCCTATTCAATCGATGTGATTGCTCTTGTTGGCATACCAATCGATGTTTGGCTTTGATATCATTTGTAACCGTTTTTACTCCTAGCAGATATTGTCCGTTTTAGCCCATTACATATTGTCAATGAATATTTTGTTTCCTTAAACAACCGGCGTGTGTACGAATATATACCAATCCAATGATCAAAATCAAATATATTTCCTTAAACAACCGGCGTGTGTACGTATATATACCAATCCAATGATCAAAATCAAATATATCATCAAATTCAAAGACGTGAGCGCAAAATGAAATTAAAATTAACGACAAAAGAATTTTTGAAATAAATTAGAAAATTGTTGAAGATTTTGAGTAGTTTAGTTTAAGAAAGAATTGTTTAGGAGAGCCGATTATTTCCAAAAATATTAGGTTTGTTGTTACGTGGGAGTAGAGAAGAAAGAGAGGCGTTTGGGGAAAATTGGTGAATGACAAAGCAAAGTCCACCCCACGTGGCAGATACCCAAAGGGTCCTCATTTTTCACAGGCCCAGATGGCGTCCACATTATTGGTCCCAGTGGACTTTTCTATTTTATTTATTTATTTATTCCCTTAAAAAAAGAAAAGCATCTGGACACGTGTCTTTTCTCATGAAAAATCCATGACTCAATAATCTTCGGTGATATGAATCGAGCGTTCTTCCGTAGCAGACAGCTTTCAGCGATGCAACATAATTACTTCTAAACTCTATACGTGTCCATTCAAATTTTTAGACCCTTTTTTTTTTCCAAATTTAAAATATATTTTCTTTTGGGGATAAAATTAAATTCAAAGAAAACATAGCCGTCTGGATTCTGCTCCGAGTTCTTTTTTTTTTTTTTCATAAACGTTCATCTGGTGAGATGTGTTCATTTTGTTGTTGTTCTTCTTCTTCTCTCGTGTTAATTTCCCTAATTTCTTGCCCTTTTTGAGCCAATGGGGTCTTTAAACCTCTGATTTTAGTTTATTTCCATGTGGGTTTTCGTTGTTTTGGATCGGATTTTGATGGGTTGCGTTGGATCCATGAAACTCCCAAGTTTTATGTGGAAAAAGAGGCGAACCCTTTTGGGGATTTCTTGTGATTTCGCTTTATTTTAGATCCCTCCACCTGTCTCCTTCGACGGTTTTGTTCTTCTTTATTGGATAAAGGTTAGAGATCCTTGTTTTCTCATGTTTCTGTGTATATAAGAGCTGATAGTGGAGAAAAGATTGTTGATAGTTGGGAGTTCTTATCAGAGAGGGAAGAATTTGATGGAATTCCTTCTCGAAATCATTGCAAGGTTAGATCCACTGTTCTTGAATAGATCTAAGGATTTGGAATCTGATTTCTTCTGCTTGTTTTTGAGCTCACTCTGTTGAGAATCTGTGATTTGATTGTGAACTTTGTCATTGAAAAGCTTTGTGGATTTGTGTTAAAGCAGCTTAGTTTTTCTGTAGTTGATTGCCAAATGATGAGGTTGTAGAGATTTAGGAAGATAGCTAATTATCTGTAGGATTTGTAAGAATGATGGAAGAGATGTCTCCTGCTGTTTCTTTGACACTTAGTTTGGGCAATTCAAAGTCTGATAGTTCAGAAAGTCCTGGTCATGTCGAATACGCACGCCTAAAGTTGGTGACCGACACGGTAGGTTCGATTGGTAATGGTAGCTTCCATGATTTTAATGGTATAGTTGATGGCTTAACCGTGTCGCGCCCAACGGACAATGGTCAAGGTATAAACACGTTTTGGGGGTTGTTACCGAAGAACGGCACGAATTTGAGTGTAGATAAGGAAGATGCATTGTTATCTACTCTGGATTACCCTGATGAAATGGTAGATGATGGATTGTTTGGTATTAGTGGTGGTGTCAAAATTGGAGATGTTAGTAATGGTCATATTGTTGCTAAGGCTATCATCTTGGTGGAATCAGGGAATATCCCTACCAATGAACTTATTGTGGCGACCGTAAGCCCGGATTTAGAAGTATCTGCCTCGTCGGAGCTGCACGCCTCCCCTACTGTAGTTTTCGAATCAAAAGGGGGGGATAGTGTTCATAAAGGCGTTCGTAGCGTCTTCGAACGTGATTGTATTCCACTTTGGGGGTCGGTATCGATTTGTGGTAGAAGACCTGAAATGGAAGATGCAATTTCTTCTGTTCCTTGTTTTGCAAAGATTCCTATCAAAATGCTTGTAGGAAATGATTTGGTGAATGGAATTGGTCAAAGTTTAACACATATCAACAGCCATTTTTTTGGTGTTTATGATGGACACGGGGGCCCTCAGGTACCTTGTTCTATTTGGCAAATGTGCTGTTCTTGTTTGAATTCTCTGCTTGAACCAAGTCTGTATCATAGTCTGTATATAACTTTTGACGTGTTTCTCGAATTCGATATCGTATTATGAATTAAAGGAAGGTTTTCGTGTAGGTTGCTGATTATTGTCGGGAGCGGATACACGTGGCGTTAGCTGAAGAGATAAGAGATTTTAAACAAGATGTAAATAATGGAAGCAATGGAGAGAATTGGCAGCAGGGTTGGGAGAGAACCTTTAACAATTGCTTTCTTAGAGTTGATGATGAAATAGAAGGAAAAGTTGGTAGAATGGTCGGAGGTAGCGGTAGCGGCGGAGATGTTTTCGATACAAGCTTTGAGCCTGTTGCCCCGGAAACTGTTGGCTCGACTGCTGTTGTTGCATTGGTCTGTTCATCACACATCATTGTTGCGAACTGTGGTGATTCAAGAGCAGTCCTATGCCGTGGTAAAGAACCCGTGGCTTTATCGGTCGATCATAAAGTACGCTTCGATCTCGTATAGAATGATAGAGCAACCTCTATACCTTTTGAAGGAACTAACGAATTCTAAATGTGATTTTTTCCACAGCCAAATCGGGAAGACGAGTATGCTCGGATTGAATCGTCTGGAGGCAAGGTCATTCAGTGGAACGGACATCGTGTGTTCGGAGTTCTTGCAATGTCTAGATCGATTGGTACGTTATTTCTGATCCAATGCTTATGCTCTTGCTTGTGCACAGAAAGATTAGATTATCTGATTCTTCTGACTAACAGGTGATAGATATTTGAAGCCATGGATTATTCCTGATCCGGAAGTTATGTGCTTTGCTCGTGCGAAAGAAGACGAGTGTCTGATTTTAGCGAGCGATGGACTGTGGGATGTGATGACAAATGAGGAAGTGTGTGAAGTAGCTCGGAGGCGGATTCTGCTTTGGCACAAGAAACACGGGGCGTCAGCTTCGTGTCTCGGCAATCGGGGCACGGGAGTTGACCCAGCTGCACAAGCTGCTGCAGATTACCTCTCCATGCTTGCTCTCCAAAAGGGAAGCAAAGACAATATCTCTGTGATTGTAGTGGACTTGAAAGCTCAACGGAAGTTCAAGACCAAATCTTAAACGTACCCTTTCGAGTTCATAGCTCCTCGAGCAACACGGTACGGTACGGTACGTTTTTGCAGTTTACGACTCGTTCTAATGAGTTCGAAAATATAGAAAACTGTGTATGTATCATAGAACATTCCTCATGGAAATTCAGCAGAAAAGAAAGAAAGAAAGAAACAGCATCCATCTGTAATGAAGTAGTTCTAATCTATGCTTCTTTGGTTTCTTTCCTCATGGAAATATGGTTCTTATATTATATACTTCTGATTTTAGTCAGTTGAGTTATTCTCGAGTTGGCCAGCTAACTGTGAATGCGGAGGTAATACGTATTTAACTAACATGATATGATATTGATCCATTCACTACTTACGAGTTTACGATGTGCACGTATTATGAATGATCTCACCAATCCATCTTTCAAATTTTCATTATAACATTGCAATTGGTTTGAAAATGCTATACTCAATATATAATAGATAAAAATTAAAAATTCTTATATATAAAAAAAGTTCAATGTGAGATTCTACGTCGGGTGGAGAAGAGGGGAACAAGACACTTCTTATAAGGGTGTAGAAACTTCTCTCTAGTAGATACGTCAATACGTAAGGAGCAAAAGCGGATAATATTTGGGCTATTACAAGTGGTATCAGAGTCATATACCGAGTGGTGTGCCAGTGAAGACATTGGCCCCCAATAGGGTAAATTGTGAGATCCTACATGGTTTCCTTAGTAGAACGTGCTTTAAAATCGTAAGACTGATAATGATACATAACTTTCTTTTACGTTCAAATATAAAACTCAGGTGAAGGAGGCTTGAAATTACCCCATTCTAACAAGTTTTTAATATTTTTTTATTTTGATATTTTTGTTGGCTGCTCTTAAATTTTCATCTATTTACCCTCAAAACTAGGCCAAATTTTGAAAATTAAAAAAAAAAAAAAATTAGTTTTTAAAAAAACATGTTTTTTATTTTTATTTTTTGAATTTGACTATTGAGTATGAACATAAATATGATATTAAAGATAAAAATTATCATAAAGAAATTGGAATAAAATTTAATTATATATATAAAAAAAAACTAAATGTAATAATAAAAATGAGTAGTAACCAAGGATTATTTGCAGTGGCATAAATTTAAATAATTAAAAAAAAACTAAATTTAATAATAAAATTAGTAGTAATTAAGGATTATTCGCAGTGGGAATCCAATTCTCACGTGAGCTTGGAATCATATCCCACCAAACATGGGCTGTGCTGTCTCCAGTTCTTCACTATTTCACACAACATAAAAATTAAACACTGATTCTTTTTCCCTGATGTCAATTATTAATTTAAATAACAGTTATTTAATTTTTACTATGCAATTATTTAATTTAAAATATATTTTGCACATTTAAATTACATCCTCTAAATTTTTAAATAATACAATTTAATTATTATTCTTTTAAAATTTGTAGTATTATTTTTAATTTTTAAACTTATTTTTGAAATTTTAAAATTATTAATGCTTTGAAATATATTTATTATGGTAGAGATTGGAATATTTACAGTGACTAATAAATAAATAAATAAATAAAATATGGATATGATTTATATGGCTCCCTTCTCTCCACACTGTGGCAACACAAGAACACTTCTTCCCACATTAGGAAAAAAACAAAAGCCAAAATGGACACACCGCCGCCACTACGGCCGGAACCAACTTCCGGCCGCCGCGACCTCCGCCGTACTACACCATTTCAATTCCTTAATTTCGACGCCTTTCCAATTCTCTTTCTCGTCATTTCTCTGTGTTTCATCTTTGTTGTCTCAATTTCTCCATTCTACAGTTTCAGTTTCAGTTTTCGTTCATTTAAGCCTCGATCAACATGGAAAAGCTTGGACTTCCTCTGCTTGGCTTTGGTCCTCTTCGCCATTGCCTGTGGGCTTCTCAGCAAAAACAATGGCGAAAACACAGTTCGTGAAGAAATTTACAGAGCTTCTGTTACTTCAAATGATTCAGAGCTGAGCTACAAGTCAAACCCATCGATCCCAAATCAATGGAATGGCTACACAGATCGGACGGATCAGATTCTTCTCCATTATCCGCCGGAGATCGCTGGAGTTGAATACTGGCGGCTTTCCGGCGGTGGTTATATAACCAATTATCAATCTATCAGTTCAGATTCTCTTCAGCATTGTAGAAATTTGAAGGAATTTGAAGAAGGGTATGATTCCAAGAGAGTTTCTAAAGCTGCATTTTCTGTTAATGATGAAGAAATTTCCCCTTCGTTTTCGCCTCTGTATCAGATTTCTGTTCCTCCATTAGTGACACCTCCGCAGATTTCTTCGCCGCCGGGTGCGGTGGTTGTAGCGGAAGTAGAGAGAATAAATGAAGGGGATGGAGGTTTTGAACCTGAATGGCTCGGAGAGGATTTTCAGGCGATGAAAGTTGAAATAAGCAAAAATGAGAAACAGAGAGAGGTGGAGAGTAAAGAAACAAAGAGGAAGAAGAACAAGAACAAGAACAAGATGAAGAAATGGCAAAAGGATGTTGAGAATTTCAAAGAATTCTTTACTCCACAACATCGGTTCAATCGGAATTTATCTCCGCCGCCAGCGCCAGGGCCGCCGGTGACGGTTCATCAGTATCAAATTTCGAGTATAGTAGGCGAAACAAAAAGAGGTTTCCCAGCTCCACCAGAATCCTCGCCGCAAAAACTCATTGCTGTGAGAACCCAGAATAGCACCGTTGAGCAACCGCGGTCAGGTGCATTAGCTCCGCCGTCGACGACGGCGGAATTGCAGATTCTATTGGAAGGGGAATCGAAAAGAAACGAAAATGCAGAGAGAAAAGGAGCGAGATTTTGTGGAAGTCCGGATGTGAACAGTAAAGCTGATAGCTTCATCGAGACATTCAGAGCGGGTTTGAAATTGGAGAGGATGAACTCGATGAAGGAGAGGCAGAGGAAGACGAGGACATCCATTTTGGGCCGTAAGGGCCCAGAACAGTAAGTGGCTCGGCCCAAGTTCAATTTTTCTTTTATTTGTTGGTTTATTAATGACTAAATATATAATTTCTTTCCTAATTATTTCCATCATTTTTCAATTCCAAATCAACAACATGGGAGGGAAGGTTCAAACGTATAACCATGTTAGGAATCACGACTCACGATGGTATGATATTGTCCAATAGAAAGTGTTCCATACACCATTGAACCTTCCTTGAGGTCTCTTTCTCCGGAGCTCTCGAACAACCTCCCCTTAATCGAGGCTCGACTTCTTTAAAGCCCTCAAACAAAAAACACCCTTTATTCGACACTTGAGTCACTTTGGACTACACCTTCGAGGCTCACAACTTCTTTGTTCGACACTTGAGGATTCTACTGACATGGCTAAGTTAAAGACATGACTCTGATACCATGTTAGAAACCACAACTCTCCACAATGGCATGATATTGTCCATAAGTTTTCATGATTTTGCTTTTGGTTTTTTCAAAACGTCTCATTTCAATGGAGATAATGTTCCTTACTTCTAAATCCATTATCTTTTTCTTAATTAGCCAATGTGAGACTATTTCTCTCAATAATCCTCAACAATAGATGCATGATTTCACATGGATCGTAAAAATTGAATAATGAGTAAACAATACGTTCGTATATATATATATCATGAAAATATAAGAGATAGAAGGATACATTTGAAACTTTTACCTATATGCATGTCCATCAAACTATCACTATCACTGCAGAGATACATCAGGATTTATACAGTTGACGGTTACTTTATTTCTATTTACATGTCAACAGTTCCATACTCCCACAGCTTTAAGTTCAGTGTATAATTCTATACTGTATATTTGGAAAGTATGCACTATTATTTCAGTCCTTTGTTTGAATTTTTCATATGAGTATGATCTGATTACTGGGTAGATAGTTCAAGATGAGTTTAGGCAGCAAGTTTACTAATGAGGTCAGGTAGAGAATGATCTTGCCTAATGAATTCAACCCACCTCGCTTTGATGCGAACTTGCTCAAGGCTTTGCTTCAGATCCATAGCAACCATTTCGTGTGGGTGGGTTGCAAAAAACGCTTCTATTTCGTCTGCTTCCTCATTGCTGCAAAACTGACAAGAGGAGAATACAAGTGTGAGCCCAAAAAGTCTCAAGAGATCATAATTTACACAGCAGAAACCATTGTTTGAAGTTCAACTTGGACAAAGCGCTATTCTGAATAGTCTAATAGCTTACCGGAGTGATAATGTCACGGACGAAGTTGGTTAACAAAATATGACCATATTTGTTAAAGATGGGCTCCCAGTTCTCCTGCAAGTTTTAGCAAGTTTCCATCAATATGAAGTTCAAGAAAGAGAATCTGTTCTTTGTTGTTGAAATTCGAAGAAAATAGCAATAACGCAGCATGAAAGTGCTTGAGCCGAGGAGGAGAATTCATTGGGACCAAAAATTGGAACAAGTGCCATGTGACATCAACAAACTATATATACATGGATTGGATAACTTTGTGGAAAAACATCGGTTGGAGAGGAGAACAAAACATTCCTTATAAGGCTATGGAACCACTCCCTAGGAGACGCGTTTTAAAATCTTGAGTGGAAGCCCGAAAGGAAAAGCCAAAAAAGGATAATATTTACTAACGGTGGACTTGAGCTTTTACAAATGGTATCAAAGCTAGACACCGGGCTGTGTGCCAGTGAGGACGTTGACCCCAAAGGGGTGATTATGTGATCCCACATTGGTCAGAGAAGGGAGACTTGGGCTTTTACAAATGGTATTAGAGCCAGACATTGGGCGGTGTGCCAGCAAGGACGCTGGGCTCCAAAGGGATCGATTGTGAGATCCCACATCGGTTAGAGAAGGGAACGAAACATTTTTTATAAGAGTGTGAAAACCTCTTTCCAGCAGACAAATTTTAAAACCTTGAGTGGAAGCCTGAAAGGAAAAGTCTAAAAAGGACGATATTTGATAGTAGTATCTCAAGACGTTTGCAGATTCAGTTTTTGCATCTTCTCGGCAAAGGCCAAGGATTTGGAAACACAACTTTATCCCAATTACAACTTTTACTGCACTTTCGATATGGATAAAGCAAGAAGTGATTGATAAATTTTTACAGCCGTGAAATTGCATACCTTAAACCATTCCCATGCCCTGTGACGACCCTCAAAGCTTATTCCTGAAAGCCCATAGATAACGTCTTGCTCTCGAACCTAATGATGACAAGAGAAATGAAACTTCTAAAAGTTATGAATATGAATGTATCTATCAAAGGTTCTTACAAATTAAGGATGGCAATACCTCCTCTGACATAAAAAAATCCAGTGCTTCCACAAGTAAATCTGGGTCTGGACAAGCAGCTAAAATCCCTGTTTAGGATCACGAATTTTAGTACTAATCAGAGGATATTGCCTATCAACAATTTTACCATCAATAGCCTTTAAAGGATTGTAAGAAACTTACGCAAAATTTCTTCTTTGCCTTCAGCTGTTTCAGCTTCTCTGTAGAGTTGTAACATGGATTCAAATCCATTCCTACTAGAAACGGTGGCTTTCCTCATGACAGCCAAATAAACAGCCTAATACAACATCTCAAATTTGTAATTTCTAAAGATCTCCAAATGAAGAAGACAATCTTGACACAATGGCTGTTACCTTCTTTGTGTCAGCTGAAAAAAGAGTCGTCTTTCTATCTCTCACATAAGCTTGAAAACGCTGCATTGCTTCATCGTGAGTTTTATCATCATCAAATGAGACTAGTGCCCCGTAAATTTTCCCTCTCAGTATAGCACTTGAATGGTCCTCACCAGGTATTGCCTCCCATCCTAATTTTCTGTAGCAAATATTATCATGGTCAGCAATGCAATAATATGTTTGTAGAGTTTTGATGATGAACTTGAATGTAATATTGGGCACCCTGATAAGAGATTTCTTACGTGGCAGAGAATTGGAGGACATTGATGAAAAACTGTTTCAATTCAAAAACAAAATCAGGAATGGCTTCAGTTGCAATGTTCACGATCCCATTACAGACCTGAAATAGAAAACTTGAGAGGTCAATGCGAGCGAACATAGTTGCCTGCAAGATGCAATTTTAGAGGTAAGAAACATATCCTTTTTCCTCACATAAATGAGCCTTGAAGTCACAATGTAGTCAAGCTCTTTCCTGTACACATCAATTAACGAAAGCACGGATGATAATGATTGATGACCAGCTTGACAAAGTGCATATGCATCATCTAAGATTCCTGCAACATAACTCAATTGTTTAATAGCTTTGCGAGTTGGTGAGTAATTTAAGAAATAAAAACTGTAGGACTTATAAATGCAGCAGGGTTCTTTACACTGACCAAACTTGTCTGTATCCGACAGTATGCTGTTTTCTATTGCCTTCCTCAATTGAGATTCAAGCTTATCATCATATTTTACCCTATAAAAACCACTCTGGCTTGTGTTCACTTTGATCCAAAAATTTCCATCCCCTGTGTTTGGTATTGTTCCAGCAAAATCTTTTGATATATCAACCACATGAAACTTCGTTTCCAGAAGGAAGTTTTTGTGTTTGTTGTATGAACCAAGTGAAAAAGTGATTGGAATGATCCATTGGCTATCAGAATGCTGCCCAGACAACAAGAAATGTGACTGCAAAAAGAAGAACAGTGTCAAACTTCCACTAAAGAATCCAAGCTACTTTTCCTTCTAAACAATTTCATCAATTTCAATACCTGCTCAAATTCCAGTGTATTATCACTGGACTTCACATAGATAACAGGATACCCCATCTGTTTCGTCCAGGTGTCCATCATTAAGTTTATTTGTGTACCAGATTCCTCGGAAATGACAGCCCATAAATCATCTGTTTTCGCATTTTTCCAAGCGTATCTCTTTATGTACTCACTCAAAGCTTTCTGTTTCACAGCATCACGCATCAAAGGAATAAACTTGTATAAGTCATGAATTAAGGAAAATTTGGTCCTGAAATCTTTAAGATTACATAAGATCTTGAATTGCGGACATCCACGGATATATAGAATGAAGAATTGTAAGCCTTCAAGAATACTCATAATAATTTAAATAGCTGGTCATTTCACGAAAGATAAATTGGATGTGAACTCATCACTCACTTGAAAGTTGTCATCGCCAAGGTATATCTGTAACATCTGAATTATTGTAGATCCTTTCTTATAGCTTATAGCATCAAATTTGTCATCAATTGAACGAGCAGGGTGTATCTCCATCTGTATTATCAATTCATTTGAAATTGCTTTCGATATTACTTCCCCATGAACCAAGTTAGATCTCAAAAGCTCATCAATGAAAATACCGGCTAGCTACCACTAGGTCAAAGTATTTCAAATTTCATTCTATCAAATCACTGAGAATAAACCTATTAAATGTGATGGATGAGGACAACAAAGCTAGATCTTTTACTCACTTCAATTGGATGAGATTCTTCCAATGCATCAATAACTAGGCCTCTAGCAGTCTGTTGGAGAAATTGTGTCCACATTTTCCACTCAGGAAAGAATGTGTCAATTGCCATGTAGCTTATCTAAAAGTTGAATATCATACATGAGGATGATCATACATAAATATTTCCCATATAACATAAGTTTGTAAGTAGGAAGAAAGCTCAAATTACCCATGTAGCAAACCCCTCGTTTAGCCATAAATCACTCCACCAGGCCAAAGTGACCAAATTTCCGAACCAATGGTGTGCAACTTCATGTGCCACACATATAGCGAGCTGATAAGAACAAGATGATTTGCTTTAATGTTACTCAATTTATCTTACTGTTCAAGCCTTTTTTGTGATTTACATAGGTGAGATGAATGTAATATTTTCTTACTTCAGAAAGATTCATATGAAAACAATGAAGAATGCTAAAAGACTTAAAGGGTATATCGATATCCGTAAACTTACTATCTGCTTGTTTTCAGCACTAGAATGTAACTCATCATAGAGCAATAAATTTTCACGATATACGATCAAACCATTATTCTCCATAGCCCCACCACCAAATTCAGGAACAGCAACCATATCCAGTTTAGGAAGAGGATAGCTCATTGAGAAGTACCTAATAATTTTATAATTACAACCTGAGATCACTCAAAACTAAGATGTCATGTAGAACGGGGGGTGTTGGTTCCAGACCAAGGAGCCGGGAGGGGTAGAGAACAAAAAATTATATTGATATCCAATGATGCAGAATATATACTTTCATACTAGTTTGTTTGAATCAATTCATCAAACACTATGGTAACATATACTAGACAGGGAAAGGAAACAATGTCTGGTGGTAGAATCCTTACTTGGTAAAATAATCGAGGACCTTGACAGCAATATTTAGGGAAAATCTCCCTTGCTCACTCTTTCCCAAAGGACAATATACACGAACCTTTATCCCTGGACGAATAGATGAACATTTATACAACATAATGGAACTAACCTCAGATTGTTACAAGGAAAAATAGAGCCTCAAGCATAATAGACCTTCTGCCGTGGTGTCTTCAATATAATCAAACAAACCAACCACAAAAGCCACCAAATAGGTTGACATATTTGGAGATTCCTCAAAAGAAACGGTCTTAATGTCCCCATTGAGCTTTTCATCCAAAACAGGCATGTTGGATAGTGCCATCAACTCTTTTGGTATATCTAATGAAATTTTGAAGCTCGCCTGCTCGTGGTAAGACATATCAAAATTAAAAGACAGGATACCCTTGCTTAAAAATTCAAAGAAAAGAAATGAAATTCAATGCCACGATGCATTATGACGATGATTTTTCTAAGACACAACCTTAGTTAATGTTAATGATGATAAACGTATGAAGGCTAAGACATGCATGTTGCTTACAGTAATATGTGAACGGTATATAGGATTGTGCTATAAAAATGATTTAAAGTTGAAAACTATTGGGGCCTCATCCATTTTGTGTGTACATATATATCGGGTTACTTCCCCCATTTATGTGACGAGTACGGACGCGTACACTACGATGATGATGATCATCATGCCTCGCATGACAATCAGGAGTATGTTGACTTTCGGACGTCACTACGAACAATTAGCTTGACTATGATGGCTCCAGGGAGGGTGCAAACTGTCTGGGGATCCACACTCGCACGTGTGGGTCGTATGTAGGGAAGTACTACACATCCAATTTTGTCTGTATCAAAGGCCACCCCTATGATGGTTTTAACGATAGGCCCCTAGATCATGAGTTGCATGTGTTTGCATTCCTTGATTCCGATAGTGAGGTCACTTACTGAGTTTTCTTAAAATACTTAAATCGTGTGCTACTTCTATTTCAGGTAAAGGCAAGACACCCCTATACGGCTAACGAGAACATCGCAAATAAAGACCATAACACGTACATAGGATAATAGTATTTTGTTTTCTTAGACTTAGGTTAATATACAGTGCTTTTACTTTAATATTTTAATTGTTTTATTTATTTTTTCTTTATGTTGTTTTAAAGATGCTTTCGACGTAAGTCTATAGCAGTGTTTTAAGATGAAGTTTTAAATATTTAATTTTGCATAAGAACATAGATTAGGATGACGGTAGTGACTTTAGGTTAATGAAAATCTAGGATCTTGCTTAAAAATTCAAACAAAGAAAAGAAATGAAATTCAAAAGAAAACCATCAAATAGAGTTCAGCATATCCAATTTATAGAGATACCTTCAGGGCAGGTTCATCCCAACATGGAAAACACCGCCGTGCATCCACTGCTTCAAACTGAGTAACAGCCATATTCTTCTTCACACCTCCATCAACATAAGTGCTGGGAAAGATCAAAAGAACAAAGACACTGTTAGTCTCTAACTTCTTTTTCCATGTTTGAACTAAAACTAACAAACTCCATAGTTAGTAGAGTACTCTAGTGATGAACCAAGAACAGAATTGGTATGAAGGACAAATTATAATTGAAGGATACATATACTGAAAGAACTTGTATACTCAAATCAAGCATCAGCAGATGATTCTTTCAACTCTAGGATTATAATATACTATTAAGAAAAAGGTAAATCAGATCCAAGACAGAGGGGGGAAAAAAACCATTTGTAAAACCCCTTTAGATGCCTGTTGAGAGGAGCAGAAAACTCGATCTCCAAAATTCCTTCCCCAACGCCAAGCACATCGTCAAACACCAAAACGAGTATCTCGTCTTCTTCATCCAGAATAACCTGAGAAGGCCTATAACTCTGCAAATCGATTAATGCTAAAATTAAGTAGAAGATGAAGCGTAGTTAGAACAAAGGCGTAGAAAATCGAAGTGTTTAATAACCTGAGCGTTGGAGTTGGAGTAGGAAACTCCATGAACGTCGAGCTCCAACGCGTTCAAGACGATGAACTTGGTATCATTGAGAATAGCGAGAGTAATCTGTACGATTCCTGAGAAAGTAGAGGCAGAGAGATCGGTGTTGAGATGAAGATCGTAGCGGTTTGGAATTGCGAAGTTGGGGAGCCTGGATTGGCCTTTGAATTGAGCTAATATCTTCTGCTTCTGCTCCATAATCCTCAAACGAGAAATTCAGAACTGAGAACACACTGTCTGTATCTCCGTGAGTGAGAGAAGAAAAGTTGTGAGGCAGTGGAGAAAGAAAATGAAATTTGCCTCCATTTTCCGTTGCTGACAGTTGCCTCTCCTTTATTTTCCCTCACTATTTTCGTTGGATAACTATTTTCTTTTGAATTTTTTATTTTTTTAAAAATTAAGTTTATAAACACTGGTAGATTAATTTAGTATATGATGGCAATGCTTTAAAATATTGAACATAAAAATTCTTAAATTTTAAAATTTATTTTTATGGGGATGATGGCTTATCCCAGGTTTACAAAGTGCTTACCAAAAGAAAAATTAAAATAAACAAATTATATCATTAATATATATTATTGAGGTCACTTTCCACAAAATAGTAAAATATTACAATAAATTTATATTATATATATATATATATATATATATATATATATATAGATAAATAAATAAATAAAGATAAATGGCCGTCCGTTTCATATTTTCCTAGTCTTAAATAAACGGACACATATATACGGAAATCACGGGACCCATTTATGTGAGGGGAAAGAAAGTTCTTCCTAACTAGATGGGATCACAAAATTCACTAAATTATTGAAATAAAAAATATCAAGTTTTTAATTTTAATTTTATTTTATTGTAGAAATTCTTTTATGAACGTCCAATAAGTCTCCGTTCTTTTTTTTTTTTTTTTAACTATATTTTTATAAAATAAAATTTTGGATTGAATAACTTTTTCAAATTTAACTTTATTGTTATTTTACACTATAATTTTCTTTTTATTAAATTTATAAGAGAACCTTTAATACTTAAAAGTTAAAATTGAATTGAAATACTAAGACGTGGAATTGGTTAAAATTGATTTTTCTTCCTAAATTCCAATCTATTAACATAGCAACATAGTATTTATAACAATCAACATAGTATTTTTTTATTTTTTATTTTTAAGTTCAAGAAGTAAAATAGGCATTATAAAAAAATCTCAAATTTTACTAAATAAAAAAAATTATAAATGTTAAAAAAATTCAGAGACATGCCGCCCATTTAATGATAATTTACACTCTGATGTTAAAAAAATCAAATGACGTCTCATAGACAATTTTTATTAAACCCAAACTCCAAGGAAATACAATGCAATTCCTCAACTACTTCTAATTTTTATTAAACCCAAACTCCAAGGAAATACAATGTAATTTCTCAATTACTTCTCAAATGTAATTCCTCAACTACTTCAACTACTTCTTACAAAAGCCACTTCAATAAATGTTTCTAGATTCACATTTTGGTTAGAAATTACGAATCTCTGTAATGATATGATATTGTCTACTTTGAGCAAAAAGTCTCATAGCTTTGCTTTGAGAGCTTCCTCACAAACCCGTGTCAATGAAGATAATATTCCTTACTAATAAATTCAATAAATTCAATAAATTCATTATCTTCCACTAAATTAACTAATATGTGACTCACTCTCAAAAATCTTCAACAATAATACCTTTAAATTCCTGTAAATTCCTTCTTCCTACTTAGTCGCACAGATAAATTTACATTGAAAAGAGAGGGATGAGAAGAACGATTCTTACAAATTATTCTATCTGGTTTGAAGTAAAGGTCAAGCCACAGCAGAGAAAGGAGTAAAGGCAATAAAAGGAAAGGGGAAAAGAAGAGATACTCAGAAACTGCAGAACAAGATGTAGGAGATTAAGATAAAACAGAACCAATCCATTGCAAACTTGACCATCAGTTTTCACTTGCAGTTTACAAGCTGGCATTTCATAAAACATGCCAAACAGATTGCAAGCGGGAAGCAAGTGCACTTTTACTACACCACTACATGAATCAATAGGAAACTACCAAAACTAATATATATATATATATATTGGGAACGAGAGGGCAGGGAATATCAATGGAGAATGAAAGCCGTAATCAGAATGAGCTTTGTTAAATTGGCAAAACAATTGACAGAATGCAAAACCCACAAAAGAAGAGGCAAAACCAAACAAAAAAAAGAAAAAAAAATGTAGGGTAGTGAGCCGAACTCTAGATGTACACAAATCATTGCCGCCGAAAAGAGACTCGACTTATTGCGCCTGATGAAGTGCAGTGGTGATCCAATCAGAGGCAGCTGTTTGGACGTCCAAATCAATGTTGGGGGTGAGGGAAAAGGGGGTTACTGCAACCTGTTCATCCAAGGAAATTTGTTTTATCAGAATATGAAAGAGAAAATAAAGAAGAGTGAAGGGAAAAGCATTCTGATGGGGGGGAAAAAGATCAAACAGAAACTTATTCTATTCATGTCTTTAAATCGTTAGGACAAGAAAAAAGGGTTGTTGTACTGGAAAGAAAAAGAAAACAAAATAGATAATTCAAGATGGTTATCGATTCCTTTGTCAGTTGTCACGTTGTTACATAACTGATCCACTTAAAGCAAATAGAGTTCCTTTTTGGCTCAGGCCCACGTACAAGTGCAAGGGTACTCTTGGGAATAGCTAAGCACTATAGAAACATGGCAAGGTAAATTGATTACTAGAATTGAGTTTGAAGGTTATTCAACTTACAAATCCATTTTCAAGGGCTCTAAAATCCAGATCATCGTCCTTGATATCATGCTCCTTATCCAGAAACTGCACGTAAAAAATAAAAAAGTGATTCCTCACGATATTACAACACTTGATCGTGTCGCTGAGAGAGCCGAGCACAACCAGAGTTTTTTTCGACCCTATCCACCTGATTTCAACAGGTGGACACAATTCTAGAAGTTAAAAGCATTCTTCAAGCAGAATCCAAGTTTCATTTTATAGTGAATACCTCCATTCTGAAGAACTTCTTCACCCGCCCAGAATCAGATTTTCCCACTGCTCCAGTTGATTCAATTTCCACTATATTCTGCCGTTGTGTGGTCAAACGGCGAGCTGCTCCCTAATGAAAAATAAAATTTATTACTCTAAACAACAAAAACAGACAGTGCAGAAAGATCCTTCCTTTACAAAATATAAATTATTAAGACAAGATGACAAGATGGTACAAGATCAATAACTCCACTAATTAAGAATACATAAATGTGAAGCATCATAATTTCAAGCTACTTACAGCCGCAGAAGCATCTCGACCAAGTTGTGCAAGCTGAAGACCAATACTTTGCTGATTAGACATATAATGTCCTGCAGGCCTGTTGCCCGAAACAGCCTGCCAATTTAAAGTATATCTCCACAGACTTTGCTTTGTTGATTTAAATCCCTGTCAAAAAATGTCAACTATATGACCAAGAGTAGCAGGAAATTACATCCTGAGACAGAGAATCAAAGATAGCAAAACAAACTCTCTGCTTTTCTTGAAGGAAAAAGAAAAGGAAAAAGAAAAAGATAGATTACTTGTTTTAACCAGAAGCTGCATAAGTATTTTAGAAATAAAAACAATTATAAATGGCGAAAAGGAAAAGATTAGGCAAAATGTTTCTAGAATCGATATCCCTGGTATAATACAAAGGATCATGTAACTAAAACTGTAATTTTGACTATACTGAAGCAGTGACCAATTAGCCATAATCTTTTCAAGCTGTTAAAATAGGTGAGGACCATACTGAGCAAAATATAATAAACTAGTAAAAGAGGAACAACATTGCAGGCGTTAATACAAAGTAGAACAAATTGCAGGTAACTTAGAATCTAATGCCAACTATCGTCATTCAGGAACTTGAACCGAAGTAAAATACTCTTTATCTACTAACTAGAAAACAAGCAAGAACCCAGTAGAGGTTAGAACGAAAATGTCTTGAATATTGCAGATTCAGAATCCGCATAAAGCACAGAACAATGCTAGTTCTATCAGATTCTCAATTAATTCTCCCTTTATAATACAAAGGAATAGGTTTCCTTCAAGTTATAGTTATAGTTGATTTTGATTAAAACACTTCACTAGGCATTCCAAAGATCATTCATCACTTATTTTAAAGATAATCAAGGAGAATCATTCAAGTTCAGGCAGAAGCAAAATTCAGATGAAATAACACCCCAAGTTCCTAATCACAACCATGTTTGGAATACATTTGTCCACCAAGTTAATTAGAGTAAGTTTCAATTTTAAAGGCAAAATGAAAGTGCAAAACCTTGTTCGTCAGAGGTGAAGTAGGTATTTCGATATTGAGAGAACAACTTTTAGGAAAATTTCCCTTTTCTATATCACTCATAGCTGCATTTATCAAAGGCAAACAGACCGACGCAGCATCCTTGAAGTCACTTTCTTGGCTTTGATCCTTCTTCCTGAAGTGAAATAAATAAAGGAAAAAGTACCTTAAGGATAATAACTAAGAAGCAGTGAAGCTCGATATGGAAAATAGAAAATCAACCGACCAATTCAGAGATATTGATATAGATGGTACACCACAAATCAATGCCTCCCTTGCTCCAGCAACGACACCTGAGTAAAACCTGGCAGATTTAAACAATCAATTTAGCACTGGATAAAGGATCAGATCATATTCGTAAAGAAGGGCCAAATGATAATCATTGTGAGGACAAACATTACGGTCCACACTGACAACTTCATGTAACAAACAGAACTTACATGTGATGACCACAGCTCGATCCCCGGTTAATTCCACTAATGACCTGAAATGTAAACCAAATATATCCTCATGACATGTTACTGGAAATTAAATTAGATCTAGAAAACCCACAGCTGCAATTTATAAATGCTAACCAGAAGAGGCTTCGACCAGGAAAAAAGAGCTCCAGACATTGCTAATGAGACACAATCTACAGGCGTTCCTGAGGAAGAGTTACCTAGCGTAATTAGGCATTGAAATTTTGCAGCCTGCAGGCAAGGATTAATGTTTGTGTACAACCAATAGCCAGACAGAAAACAAGTTTTAAATAGACTAGTTACGCAATGAACATCAAAACTCTGGCTGGAAAATTAAGCTATGACAACAAAGTAATTTAAACCAATAAAAGATCGGAGGAAATTTGATACTCAAACAGGAGAAATCAGAGAATATACAACCCCAAATTTAATCAAAATAGAGCGTATTCATGGCGGATTAAGACAGTTGAAAAAATAATACAGAAGGACAAGCGCAGCAGTAGTCAAACCCGAAACTTCATAGGCTGTGGCACCGTTAATTTCAGCAGAACTCACGGCAACAGTTTCTCGAAGAGTCACAGAATGACTGGAAACTAATTTGTCCCTGCAGCGCAAATTCGCGAACCATATAAATCACAAGTGATCAATATTCAATGACGAAGATACCAAGTAGAGGAATCACACATACAGATGAAAGCAATAGAACACATTATAGTAATCTCCATAACAAGCAACAAACATTGAAAAAGAGCTCAAGAAGCAGAAAAGAAAAATCCAATCCAGTAAAAGATGGATAAAAAAGAGAAAACATAAACTCACGATTGCGGAGCGCAGACATAGACGTTGTATGAACCTTCGCGAACAAGGCCTTCAACGAGGTAAGTAAGGCCGGGAGATTCGATTCCTTCGCTGTTAGTAACAAGAACAATCGGCTTCCGAGTTCCAGAATCCTCAAGATTGGCATCAGAAGTAGAAGAGGACGGCTCAACCGATGCATTAACATCCTTAGATTCTTCGCCTCGTTCACCAGCACCCTTCTTGCGAAGAACATCTTCAAGATTGGAAACAAGGCCCGGAGGCATGAAGTTCTTCTTGACAGAAGTAGAGGAAGCCATAGAGTTAGATTCAAAAGGGAAAACAAAGAGGATAAGGGGAAATGGTGATTGGGAAGGATTGAAGGAGACGAAGAAGAAGCTTGTCTGCAAGGAATCAGAGATCAGAACCCTAAAATGAGAGGGGAATGAGGAGAAGGAGAAGAAGTAAAGGGAAGAGCAAGAATAAAGCGCTGAAGAAAATGAAAACGGTGAAATCGGTGAGAAGGGAGGATAGATTGGTGGTCCGGTTCAAACGCCGTTACATTCGTAGCGAGAGACGGAGGGAAAGTTTACTGGTTTGGTTTTTGTGGCGTCATGTCATCTAAAATGGTGAAGAAGAAACAACAGTAATTTAATGGAAACAAATAATAATAAATGTTTTTTTTAATTAGCTAAAATAAAATAAATATCTAAATTTATTTATTTATTTATATTTAGTAGTATTATTATTATTAATTATTTGCTCGACTTCACAATTATAGATAACATTTATGTTGATGTATACAATTTGTTTACATTATTACCCTTACAATTATGTATAATATGGTCAATTTTATTTGTTATTTATTTATTTATATTCAGTATTATTATTATTATTATTAATTATTTGCTCGACTTCACAATCATGGATAACATTTATGTTGATATATAAAATTTGTTTGCATTATTACCCTTACAACTACGTATATATATGACGTCACATAGATGGACATAAACGAAATAAAAATAATTTTAATTTGTATTCATAGTTTGAGTCCCTTGTTTTTCGATCTTTGGATAATTAGATATAAAATAATTTAAACTCAAACTTCGGCCGAACCCAGAAATCTCTTAGATATTATACAAAATAGATCTTGTTCTATCGTTGATCAGAAATTTCTCTATGAACAATACGAATCGAAATTTGAAGAAGGGCACTGATAAACATCAGAATAAGCGATATTCACTGGGCCAAGAGCACCTCGAGTAAAAGCTTCGACGGCCGGTTGACCAAAATAAGGATCTCAAATTGCATGAGCAATAGGTCTTGATACGGTTAAAATTATTGACAAATTTAAGTAAATAAATTATAGTTTGGAGGAAAAGTTTATTATTTATAATTAGAATTAAAAAAATGAAAAGAAAAAAAAAACTAAAATTAATGGTTATTTATTGGGAGATAATTTATTGGTAATTGTTTTTTTTTTAATAAAAGGTTTAATTAAAAATAAATAAATAAAAACTAAAAAAAAAATGAGATTAAGGGCAATTAAGAGATTAATCATCCGCTAAAATTTGTAAGGTTTGGCGGTTTTTTGGACACAAAAGAGGATGAGAAATTCAAAAAAAGGGGGAAGAGAGAGAAATTGTGTGAATGAGTTGGCTTGCTTAGTGGATTCCTTATGCTGACGTGGTGGAGCTGTTTATGTTTATGGGTTACACGTGGGATTCTTGGCCCGGACGGGGAATGGGGATACACTTATCCCGTTCCGTTGACACTTATCTCCCCGGATCCAAACAAACGTGCAATTAAGATGGTGTAGAGAGTCCCCAGACAAAGCCAAGTGAGAGTCAGATATGGTACGTTTCAAATCCGATTCTCTTCGCAAAATTTAATGCATTGCATCGCTTTACAACATTTATGGCGCTGCTGCAGAAGCAAGCAACGATATTTCTTCAATTGCGTATTAAACAAACTATAGTATAGGGTCTATCACATTAAATCATTATTTTTTAAATGTAAATTCATAGAAGATAAAAGAGGGATTAAAAAGAGTCAAATTTTCTACAACTTTCTTACATGAAAATCTGAGCTCCAAATGTCCGTGGACTTCTTTCCAAATTATTGTCGAAAATATAAAATTCAATTTAAAAACACGATCGGGTTAGTGTCCTGTGTTAGATGAATACGATTCTCTACAATGGTATGATATTGTTCACTTTGAGCATAAGCTCTCATAACTTTGGTTTGAGCTTTCCCAAATACCTTTAGAAATGGAGAGAGTATTCTTTAATTATAAATCGAGGATCATTCCCTAAGTTAGCCAATGTGGAACTTTCGTTATCCAACAATCTGAACAATTCTAATAGAGTTCACAACCCAACTCAACCAAACCCTCTATCTCTTAGTTAGGATGGGTTTTTTTTTATTTTAAAAAAATTATACTGATCCACCGTACATATTACTTTAATAACTAAAATTACATAAAATATATCTTAATTTTTTAAAAAAGTATGGTAGAGATAAGTTGAGTTGTAACCTTATTTTTTTTATAGGTTAGATTGACTCGACCAAAAAAATGTCTAACTCATGAGCCCAATTGAATTTTTTATTTTCAAAAAATTTAACCCAACCTAAATTGAATATTTCTTTTTTAACTCAATCCAATTGTACAGTATGAGTTAAGTGGCCCGAATTGCTGGAGTTATTGAAATTTATGAACCGAAATAAACAAAATCATCAATACAGTAATTAAAATGAACGGAAACGATACATTAATTAAGACATGGTTTAAATTTAATTAAATATCATATTAAAATTTTAATTGAAATAAAAATCACAAATATATTATCATATTAAAAAATGATTTGGTGTTAATTAAAATATCAACATGAAACAACACCAAACATGAGTACCACCTTTCAAAAAAGTTTGAAAGCTTGAAATCAAAATTATTTGTTCTCCAAAAAATTTAGTCAAAATCAACTTTATCTTTAGATCAAGTTGGTTTCCATTTCTTCGTTACAACTCAAGCCCAACATGGACCATCCATTTTCCAAATTTTATTATTTCACTTTTTTAATTTATTAATTATTATGTCAATATTGATATATTATTTTTTTTAAGGTAAAAGAGCTCACGACCAATTATATTATTTTTTAAGGTAAAAAAACTAAAAAAAAATAATTTGTTACTAAGGTGAGTAAAGCTTAAAAAGAAATAAATGAGATAATTATATTATTTTTTAAGGTAAAAAAACTAAAAAAAAATAATTTGTTACTAAGGTGAGTAAAGCTTAAAAAGAAATAAATGAGATAATTATATTATTTTTTAAGGTAAAAGAACTCACGACTAATTTAAAAATATAATTAAAATTTTAATGGTAAAATATATCGTAAATAATTTGTGCATTAATTAAACTTAAATTTTCACCGAAATTTCTCTGGCAACTTAATATTATTGAAATGAGTGAATGTCATGACTAACAAAAATTTGGTCGACTTCGATTTTCCTCAACACAAATCACTATTTTTTTTAAAGTTTCGGTTTACTGTTTTGTACGCTTATAGAATCATTTACATAATTAAAGCAAAAAAAAAAATTATTATGACTAAACTTTGGACAGTTAATAATATTTAGTACCGTTTATGATTGATTTTTAGGAAGATTAATTGATGCGGGCTAAAATAGATAGGCTATAAACTCGATTCTAGAATGGGTCAAGTATCATAAAATTGAATCGCATGAAGTTAAAAGTAAGAACGTTCGACCAAAACATCTTATGTGCACTAAGTTGAGCCTGAAAACTACACATGAACTTAATGTTGAAATGTCTACGAGCTAGGTTGGTTAGATGATATTATTTGAATCGTGAATAACATGTACTCTGTTACCTACATGTTATTAATTACGTTATTATATTTATATGAATCTCCCTGAAGCATGTATTTCCTCACGAAATACTGTGATATACCATGAATGTACATCTCACGAGTAATTCATATCAGGATAAACCATGAATGTACCTCAGACATGTTCGAACCTTATTTTTAAAAATTATAATTACAATGTTTGATTAAATGTCATCACTAAGTTTGTATTATGTGTGAAATTATTACAATACTTGATTAAATTTAAGGTTAAATGGGATTGTAAGTGTAATATGATAATTGTGCAGTCGGTAAAATTTGATTTTTTTTTTTTTTTTTTTCCATCAAAATTTTGAATACACAGCTTTCAAACGACATGTCGTCCAAGCGCTCGGTGGGCTACACGTCGGGAAAGAATAGAAGCTTCGAACCGAAGTCATCGCTCGGCAACGGCGGTGCCGAAAAACAGAATATTACCGAGATTTCAGCTTCCGAAGTCTTCGAAGTGGCGTTGAATCAATGGAGATAGCTGGCGAAGACGGTTCAAAGTTAGTTCTACGAGAGCCAGTGACGACTTTTGGAAGAGGCTCAGGTTTTGCTTGCAAAGATCGAACAGTTTCTCGTCGTCACATTTTAATCAAAGCTAAAACCTCTGAGAACAGTAATGGAGTTCCCATGGAGCCTAGGGTTTCCTTCGAGGTTATCGGAAAGAATCCTATTTGGGTCCGGAGTGGAAAAAATGGCGAAATCAGAACATTTAGAAGTTCGGAAAAGGGCGAGATGGTGCCTGGCGAATCGTTCTGCATGGGCGGGCAGGAACCGATGTGGTTCCAATTAAACAAAATCGCTGAATTTGAAGAAGGGGAGAAAATTTGTTCGCGTTCTTCTGATTCGGATGATATCGATGTTTCTGGCATTGATCCTGTCAAAGGTTTGCTCCCAAAACCTATATAATTTAGAGGAAAGTAATCGAAATCATCAATTTTCCAGATTGTTAGCGAATTTCGCGTAGGATTTTGACCACGAAAGTAAATTACAAACGATAAAATTGTTTAGAATTTCCAATTTGTGAACCGATGATACTGATTGTTCTTACTGTTTCCTTCTCAGAATTTGTTTTGTTTTGTTATGTGGCACGAATTTGAATGCTGTCAAAGTTTGCTCCCAAAAATCTATCAGGAAAGTAATGAAAATCATAATTTTTTCTCATTGTTAGCAAATTACGCTTAGGATTTTGATGACAAGTAAGAATAGGCGATACTATAAAGAAAACAGATAGAATTGTTTAGAAGTTCCCAATTGTAAATCGATGACAATGATTTTTCTTACTGTTCTTCGTGTCAGAATTTGGTTTTCTTGCCAAAGGACACGAGTTCGAATGCTATGGCAATCGAGTGATCCGTGATGCAAAAAAGTGGGACTGGTTTTTGGATGAGTGGAGAAAAGACAGCGACGACGACGAAGATTATGGAAGGAAACAGAAGAGCAGAGTAAGGGGAAAGAGGAAAAAAGGAGCAAACAATGACGATGAAGATTGGACAGATGAGAATGAAGATGCTGTGGAAATGATTACAAAAACAAAGAAGTTTCAAAGACCCCAATACTCCACAAGGTCAAACGATAGCAATAAAACTCACAAGGATCAAAAGAAGGCTGCTAAATCTAATAAAGACTATGTTGAAGAAGATGAGGATGATGAAACTTTAGGAGGTTTTATTGTAGATGATGAAGTAGATAATGAAGAATTGATGGATGAGGACGAAGACGAAGAAGAATTTTCGGATGGCGAGGAGGACGATTGATATTGATGACGATCGATGAAGCTAATGTCTTTGGTCAGGCTGCTGCTAACATAGGCTTGTTCTAGAGAGGTTTGTCTCTGTATTGTACTTCCCTTTTAGCCTCATAATCTTGTGAAATATAGAAGAATGATCAGTTTTATGTTGTATTTCAAAATGTAGGTTGGAAATCATTTTCATTTTCTTTTCCAGCCGTGGATTGGATTGTTTTTTATGTCGAACAATTGGAAGGCCTCCTTGTTTTCGAGGAGGCCACCATATTGTGACTGATAGTTTTGCACGGTTGGAAGAATGCGAGAGAAACCATTAACGTACCTTGAATTATATCTAATAGTTATTAGGGTATCCTCATTGCATCTCATCTCCTTTATAGGCTTCATTCCCAAACCCTAAACCCATTTATCTGAAGTCCTGTTGTTTTCCCCATTATATAATGTCTCTTACTGTTGTTTGTATTCCTTTCTTAGCTTCCACCATGTGCATTAGTTCTTTAGGAAATGGAGGGAAAGTCTGCATCACTCTTACTCTGGATGTTTTAGGATTATTTCATTTTGTTGACTTGTTATGCATGAGCCTGCAATACCTGTAGTTTTATTGGGTGCCATTTATAGTCAATGTGAGATCTCACATCGGTTGAAGAGGGGAACAAAGCATTCCTTATAAGGGTGTGGAAACCTCTCTCTAGCAGACATGTTAAAACTGTGAGGTTGACGGCGATACATAACGGGCCAAAGCGGACAATGTCTGCTAGCGGTGGGCTTGAGTTATTACAAATAGTATCAGAGCCAGACACCAGACGGTTTGCTAGCGAAGACGTTGGTCCCCAAGGGGGGTGAATTGTAGATCTCACATCGGTTGGAGAGGGGAATAAAACATTCCTTATAAGGGTGTAGAAACTTCTCCCTTACAGACACGTTTTAAAAACATGAGGTTGACGACGATACGTAATGGCAAAAACGGACAATATCTACTGGCAGTGGACTTGGGCTGTTACAGGCAATCATCATCCTCATCCTGAACTTGGTAGCCCATAGACACGATATCTATGTTTGTATTAATGCCGTTGAAGCTCTTACTTCGAATATGGGATTATTTTAAGCTACAAAGATTCAATATCGGTCATTAGTTCATTAGTTCATAAGGGGCATGAACTAATAATATTGTTGAGATCTAACCTAGCAACATTTTAGAGATCGAAGATCCTTGATTCCATGTTGGAGGTGGTATCTTGTAGTTTGTTTAGACTGATTTGTATAGCCTTTTTGCCCTCCATGATTGCATATTTGAATTCATCTGAGGCATAGACCTTTAGGCATTAAGCAATTATTTCGTCTTTCGAATCATGAAAATTCCTTTTTTCTCTATTTCTGATTGAATCATAGTTAGAATCATCTCGAGTTGAGTTGAATTGAGTTGCTGCCTTTCGTTCTGAGATTCTGAATGACAAGCTTTTTTGACTGCTTTGAATCATTCGTGGAGGTATATTACCAAGCACGTACGTTTTATCCCATTCCATGTCCAAAGCTATTCAAATTCTCAGAACTTCATTAGAATGATTCTATTCCTTTTTACCACTGAACTTCTTGTGAATCACTTCGGCTGTGAGTTTTGGGCTTATCATGGGCGTGAAAGATCATTGTGAAATTATAGGTAGCTTCTCAGGGTGCCATCAGAGGACCAGCAATGATCAAATCCCATCACCACCCCACTGCCTTCCCCAGCTTGAAACATCAGCAGAAGGTTAGTAATCTTGTTCTTGTTACATAAAACCTCATATTAAATCTTTGTTGTTGTCTAAAGAGATGGCTTCTGTGGCAGGATCTAAGGCTTGCTTGCTCTGGCTTTGCCAGAATCTGTTTCTCAATCCGCTTCTATGTCACGGTCACGCTTGTCTAGGGCGTGTTGTCTATGGCCGTATGTCCATGCCATGTCAAATCCTTTATTTACTTTCTTGTTGTATTGCTTTTATAACCGTTCGACGATCTCTGCCCTATTTTCTAAAATTTTCTCCTCAAAATAGGGCCGAGGCTTGAACATGCATTGCCTGGTCGTAGGCGATACAATTTTGAGTTGGTTGACTCATTCGGGGTTGAGAGTGAGTGCCACACAATCGCTAGTTTGCTTTAAAAAAAAAAAGTGCAATTGTGACAAGATAGCCAAATCTCATGGCTTGGTCACTCGGACTCTTTTGCCTGACACTTTCAAAGATGTCATATACCAAATTAGCCAGCATTTTTGTAATATTATTCCACATAACATACTATTAATGTTGTTGAAGATTGAATAGAATTATTAAAAATACTAGGAACTTTGCATTTTATTTTAAAAAATGATTGAATTTACAAAATATTCAATAATACCACAAAAAGTAGAAAAAAAAAACAAAAAAAAATATTTAAAAATACCTTTAACGTTATTTAACATTTTTTTTATATATAAAAAAAGCAATAAATAAATAAGGTACCTACGTATTTCAAAGCCCAATGGTGGTCCAACATTCTCTGGTTTCGTTTCAAACTAGAGTGCATTGGTGGAGCCGAGGATGCAACGTGTCACAATCGCGGGCGTCGGTTTTTGTTGGTTTCTTCGAAAAGTTTAAACTCCACTGAAGTAGGAACCCAAACAACTAAACGACGTCGCCTCAGTTCCTTTAATGACTGCAACTGGCTTCCCTCGCCAATTAAATGCGCTCTTTTCACAGCCTTCTGTCAGTGAAGTTGTCCATTTCCTCAACACGGAAATATCTGAATCACAGTTTGAAGCATCGCTGATCGCAGTCGCGCGGTTCTCTCACCTACGATCTTCGTCTTGTAGCATAGCGAAAAGACAGGAACTCCAATATGTCAAATCTTGGCTCTTCTCTTCCGGATGCGACTGCGGCGGACGGTAATTTTTGCACCTGCATTTTGTTCCAGAAAATTTTTAGAATGTGATCGGATGTTTTTGTGGTTAGCTCGGATTATACGTAGTTTGGAGCTGCATTTTCTTACTTGTTGTTGCGATCTTTGAGTTGAGTGTGCGGTGTTGGAGATGATTATGATCGGATTTTTGCTTTGGTAGAGCTGTGATAGTGGTTGGGAATTAATGTGAATAAATTTGTCCTTGTTAGAGTTGATAGTTCTCGTTTTTGGCCTAGGGAATATAATAGTGATCGGCAGCTGTTGGAGTTCTTATCAATGTTTCTTTGGTTGTGCCAATCTTTCTAATATTCTCTACCAAAAAAATACATAATGTTATTATTGGAAGTTCTTGTAGCTGGTTCCGTTTATGTGTAGTTGTTATGTTAGTCAGAGCTGTATTTTCTTACTTGTAGTTGCGATTTTGAGTTTTAAGTATGCGGTAGAGATAATTAGGATCTTTTTTCTGCTTTGGTAGAGCTGTGATACTAGTTGGGAGTAGATGTGAATTCCTTGTTTGATAGAATGGATTGGATGGTTCTCGTTTCTATCCTTCGAAATATAGTAGTGATCGCAGCTGTTGAAGTTCTTATCTACGTTTCTCTTGTTGTGCCAATTTACTTTCTGTACCAACAAAGGCATCTCTTGTTGTGCCAATTTACTTTCTATACCAACAAAGGCATTATGTAATTGGAGGTTTTTGTTGCTAGTTCGGATTACATGTAGCTGTTAAGCGGAACTGCATTTACGTTGCGATCTTGGATCATTTTTCAGCTTTAATATCAGTTGAGATTTGTTATGAATAAATCCATCCAAATTAGGAAGCATTAATAGTTCACGTGTTTTCCTTGAAAATTAAGCAGTGAATGGCAGAGTTGGAGTTCTTATCTCTGTCTCTGTCGTCGTGCCAATCTTTGAACTGTGCGCTCAAAGCAAATCTCGCAGCCGGAGATAATTATGAAGTGGAAACTGCAATTGCTTGATTTTGGATTTAGTTTGCATAATAACGAGGATAGGAGCGGTAGATTGTGGAAGGTGAAATTGAAAGTTTGGTGAAAGCATGTTCGTGATCATTCTTGAGAAATGCTTTAACGATGAACGAAATAGAGAGATTTTAAGGCTAATGCTTTGACGAGCGTGACTATTTGAATACGCCTTTCCCCTGCACTTTTGAGAGTTGAGTTTCAGCTTTTAGTTGAATCCTTTTTATGGGATTTTCTTTCAAAGCTTCGACGTACCTTCACTGATGTTCAAATCTTCATATTCGTATCAAACAATTTGCAAATAAAGCTATAGAAGTCCTGGGGAAGTCTGGGCTGAGTGGACATAGCAATTCAATTAAATTTTACTAAAACGATGAAAATGATTTGTTTTCCGCTGAAAACCAGAACGCAACAAGATTAGCAGTTCAGTGATATCTTAATTTTGGAGGCAAGATTTATAGTTTCACACTTTCGCTCTGGTCTGCCCATTAGATATTTTTGTTCTCGTTTCCTGGAAAATTCACTACCTAGCAAACTTAACAGATCTCTCTCACCTGTTGTATATGCAGAAAAGCTGCGCGTTGGTTTCCTAGGTCTTGGAATCATGGGTTCACCAATGGCAGAGAATCTTGTAAAATCTGGGTATGATTGATGAAGATGCCTTTTCCTTTGTTTTTCCCCTCTCGCTCCCCCTTTTAAATCTGTATCATTAACTAACAAGCGTTTCCATAGTATAGGTTGATTTAGTTATAATCGCAATGTCATGTCCTTTTTTTGGTCTAAAAATTACAGAATTTCTGCCTCAAGAACTTTGAGTAATCGAGTTGAAGAAAACCGATAGCACATGCTTTATTTACTTGAGTTAGTTCACATGCTTTATTTACTTGAGTTAGTTTTCTCTTGCTATCATCTACCCATACATCTTTTTAATATGTTGTCTCTTTTTGCTTGTTGTAGATATGATGTGACCGTCTGGAATAGGACCAAGAGCAAATGTGATCCTCTTATCAACTTGGGTGCAAAGTAAGTTCTTGATGTCTGCATACCTAATACCATTATGCCAACAAATTGCATACCATTTGAGGTATTTTGAGGTATTTTGAGGAATTGATTTCCAAAATACATCTGTGATGTGGTTAAGACATTCTTGGAGCACAGGGCAGTGATGAGAATTTGATTTAGTGCTTGGGAAAGTAGGATTTGAGAGGGAAGGAAAAGGAGAATTGGGGGTAGAAACTCAGAGAATTACTTTCTCGATCTCGTAAAGTATTTGTGTCTGGCAAACAAGGAAAGGAAACATATATTTCATTGAAGTAAATGAGATATCCAAGACCCTAAAAGAAATTATGAAAAGAAAGTACCAGTAGCTCTGATGGTGTGAGAATAATTAGAAAGAAAACTATTTAGAACTCCAAAGAGAAGCAAAAGTGAATTCTAGTTCTAAAGCTCGCAAGGAACTAAACAACAAACCGGATATATGCTTCTATTGCATTTTTCATTAAATATTCTAAAAGGACAAGTATGTAATGGTATTCAACTAGAACGCTTGCTTTCTTTTCAAGCAAACTCCTCAAAGATAAAACAGAAGACTTTCTCCAACTGAGAAAGAAAACATAGAATTCATTTTGAAACATCTAAAACGACCCACCAAGCTTTATTGGAATACTTTAGAGTTGAGGAACAACTAGAACTATTATTTGCATAGTAAGTAATAGTTCGGCTAGACACGAACATTTGGATTCCTTTTTTGTACTTTTTATCACTAGGATTTATGCGGGAAAATTGACCAGAGAAATTTTATCCTAGGAATCTGAGTATGGGTAGGTTAGTTTTGTGAATGGTCCTCCAACCGACCAAACTCTTTTGTCCTCCATGGAAGAGGAGAACCCACCATCTAAATATTCCATTATTTTTCTATTTATTGAAGAATTATAGGTTTCGTATATCTTTATCTTTTTTTTTTACCTTTAAAATTTCTTTTTCAAAAATATATTATTATATGGTTGCTAATATTTTAACAAATTTAACCGTAGTAAGAGGTTGTTGATATTTTAACTAACAAAACTTTACTTTAGTAGGATTTATGCGGGAAAATTATTTCTTTACCTCCATCCACAGATTTTGTCCGAGTCTTAAATTACATAGCTTCACAAGTTATTCTCTTTTGGAAGTCCTATCTCCAAAAATATTCTATGATTTGTATTTAAAGGAGACAAAGAACTTGAAGTTCATAGATAAGTTCATTTCTGGAACTCGTGTAAACCATGTTAGAGAAATAATCGGCTCATATTTACTTGTTCCAAGAGACCGACATTTTCCTAGTTACAAAATTACATTTACCCATAACATTCCATGAATGAGAGAAATAGTAACAATGCTTGTCGTTTCGTATTGCTCTGATTGTTCCATAGAGATTAGCAGTTTTCGAAATACTAAACTAAAAATAGACATGCATTTGAAATGAGTTCTCGAATAATGTGTTTTATTAGGAAACGAAACTGTTTCAAAGTATCCAGTGGAAAACAGAAAAGGGAGGCTATCAGATCCCTTTGAAACTAGAAACTACCGGTCAATTGGTTGGTACCCTTGAAGTGTTATAAAATCGTTCTCAAATTTGCTATAATTAAACAGGAAAAATTAATTACAAAAGTATCTAGATATTGAGCCCGTGCAGAAACACCCAAGGAAACAAACTTTATGATTTCCTTCCCATATGTGAACTAAACTTATCCTTAAAATATGGCCATTTGATGAGAAACGATAACGAATTAAATTTAAGAATCCTTATAATTATGCAAACTCCTAGATCATAAATGCTAAAACTTATAAATCAAGACAATTTCATCTCAAAGAAGAAGGCATAGCAGATTACAAGAGTAGAGAAAACTTGTTTCTAAACTCAAGATTCAAATCACTCTATAAGATAGTTTTATCATACTATTTGAATGATCCTAGTATGCAAATCTAAACCTAAGAAATATCATGATAACAAATATGAATTCTAAAGCAATAACATGAATGAATATTTATAGACTTAAAAATAAACCTAGAATTACCTAAGGTCAATTGTAAGATTGTAACTCTTAGTGCTCATCAATACTATAACGACTATTAGCTAAATTATAACTTAAACATGCTCATCAATTCCATAATGACTATTAACTAAATTATAACTTAAACATGCTTGTTTCTGGAAATGAGTGACCTGCCAAGGCAATTGACTTGTGTTGTTGAAATTGGATCCTGAGAAGATTGTGTAGATGAAGAGGAGACTTTCTCCTTTAGGATTTTTTAGAGCTACTTGTAATATGGGGAACCTATTAGAGAAAACAAGAAGATGAAAAGAGGAAAGCCGTTTGAAGAAGCTTTGTTGAGTGAATATGCTAGCTATTGGCTGTTACCGACTACTCTGTTCTCAACTACACAACGTTGAAAACAATATTGTAAAATTGAAAAATATAATGAAAGCTCCCTAAATCTAAGAATTAATATCCTAATTGACCGGCCTAAAATTTATAATATATCCCAGATTAATTGAAACTCCACTTTAATGAAGCATATATTGCAATTGAGTTCATTAACTACAACTTTATTTTGTTGTCACTTTGGAACAACATGTAGGTAAAATCTCTCATCCACTAACATTGAATGTTCTAGAATATTCATTGCGATTTGTGTTAACTGTCTAGTCCATTCTAAAACGTTTTAGAATCTGGGTTCGTTGAGAGCGTTAGAGTAGATAGTTCATAAAGGAATGGTCCGAGTAAGGTCTGAATAGCAGCTAGATAGGCAATGACTAGATTGACATAATTACTCCTGTGTTGGCTTTTCTTCAAATTTAAAAATCACTCCATATACGTCATGTCCATTAATGGGATATTTTAATGAATTGCATTTCAATTGTTATTTGTCCTTCATGTGCCGCATTTTTCTCCCATACAATTGTTACTGTAAAACAGTGGCTGTTCTTACACTCTTAGTCCTCTAAGAAACTCCTTTCTTTTCCTTTTATTTTTATTGTTATTTTCAATCAATCATTTTGATTAACGTAATTATGTGCTAGAAATCTAGATTCTTTTGAGTTTCACTTGATTCTGGTATTTTACTCCGATGCTTCAATTATAATTGAACGAGTCCGCTGATGCAGATATCAGCCTTCTCCTCAGAAGGTGGCAGCATCTTGTGATGTCACATTTGCCATGCTTGCTGACCCTGAAAGTGCAGTGAGTATTTTTTTTTATTTTTTTTTTTATTTTTAATCTTCTATTATTAGACTGTTTATTTTTTTTTTTTTGTTGTTCTTTTCTTGATAGGAAATAAATTCATAGATGGTATTAAATTTAGAAAAGGGAGAATTCCCATCCAAATGAAGTTGAAATCCTACACCCCATGTGGAACTCAAGAAATTTAAGAAGCTTATTTCAGTATTTTAACTTTTTTTTCAAAGGAGGAAAGTTTACTTCGATTCCGCCCATTCTAACAGGAATCTCGATGTATTTCCTCTCCTGGTTTAGGATCTCAGTTTCAGTCAATAATTCTTTGGCTGTCTGTTAGTGTTTCTTTCAAGCATTCGGCATCAGTGTGGTTCGACCTAGAGTTCTATGATTGAGGAGTTGTTGCTTCATCCGCCCTTTAACAAGAAGGATCGTTTATTTCGTAAATGGTTGGCATTTGTGCCTTATTTTGGAGTTTTGGGGGAGAGAGGAATAATAGGGTGTTTAGAGGTGGGAGAAATCATGTTGTATACGTCCCTTCGGGCGTGGATGTTCAAGGGCTTTTGTGATTATCAGTTAGGTTTGATCGTGCTTGATCGGAGCCCTCTTCTTTAGCTTGACTTCTTTTGGGTTGGTTTTTTTGTATGCCCGTTGTATTCTTTTATTTTTTCTTGGTGAAAGCTCGATTTTTATAATTAAAAAAAAAAAAAAAAAAGGTTTAACAACTTGTTCTACCATTTTCAGTTGGATGTTGCTGTGGGAGAAAATGGAGCTGTGAGTGGATTGAGCCCAGGAAAAGGGTATAACTGTACTTTCATTTTCACATTAGAATATCATCTTTTCTCTTTGTCTTACTAAATTTTGCATCTGTTATCTAGTGCGGAAGAAAATTGCATTGTTTTTTTAATTAAATCTTTCTCCTGCCTGCCGACTTCCGTTGGGTTTTCAATTGCTTCATTTGAATGCTTCCACGAAGTCCTTCGATTTATTTTAATCATCGTGTAGACATTTTATCGCATCCTATTGCCACTGGCAGGTATGTGGATGTATCAACAGTTGATGCTGCTACTTCTAATTTGGTTAGTGCACGTATAAAGGATACGGGAGCTCTATTTCTGGAGGTAGGATAATATTTATAACCAAGCGTACTACGAGCAGTTACCAATTAGAATGAGCATTCCAGGACTGCTTGCCGGTGTTCATACTTTAATCATTGACATTTGAACGTACTAATTGCAACTTTTTTCTAGGCTCCAGTTTCCGGCTCCAAAAAGCCTGCGGAAGACGGACAACTTATATTTCTTACTGCAGGTCAGTAACTTACATCATAAAGGGATTAT